AAGATGGACATGTTAATCATTCTCAATCCAGGAGATTGGATCGATGGGCAGAACACTTTAGGGATCAGTTCAACTGGCCTTCAGCCACACTTCGGTTTCCCACGATCTCCAGTCAACCTGAATGGCAAGTTAATATAGGTCCTCCGTCTCTTTATGAAGTTGAAAAAGCCACAGGAAATCTGAAGCGAGGGAGAGCAGCAGGCCCTGAAAGGTTTACTCCTGAGATTTTTAAGGATGGTGGTTCAATATTAGCAGTGAGATTAACTGAGGTCTTAGAATTTGGGAACTGGACGCAATCCCATCTCACTGGTCTCAATCACTGGTTGTGCCAGTCTATAAGAAAGGACAAACGTCCTCTTGTGACAATCACAGAGGAATCAGTTTGACAAATATAGTGTCTAAAATATTAGCTTCAATAATACTTCGACGCCTAACTATCCGTCTATCAACCAAAAAACGGGTTTACTGTGCAGCAGTTCGTCCCGTCCTACTTTATGGCAGTGAAACATGGCCGGTAAGAGTAGAGGATATTCGTAGGTTACTAGTATTTGATCATAGGTGTCTTCGAATTATTGCTCGTATATCCTGGGACCATCGAGTAAGTAACGCAGTTGTTAGGAAACGGGTACTAGGTAAGGATGCCAAATCAATTGATGACGTAGTAAATCTTCATCAGTTGAGGTGGCTGGGAGACGTGTTACGTATGCCCAACGACCAACTGCCTCGACGTGCGATGTTCAGTGGTATAGGAGTAGATTGAAAGAAAGCTAGAGGCGGCCAGACCAAAACATGGCACAAGTCCATGAAGTCACTGACAAGTAGACTGAGTCATGTTGGTAGGTGTAGACTACCTGGTTGGGGACCGCGAGATGATAGCAGCCGATGGTTAGAGACCTTGAATGACATGGCTCAACATCGTTTGCAATGGCGCAGGTGCATCCACTCTTTGTGTTCTCCCAAATTTTGATCTCCTTATTCCTCCTTGTCTCTTTTTTTCTCTTCCCAAATTTATTTCACTGTATTATACTCTTTAAATAACATCTCCAAACACTAATTTTCCCGATTACTGCTTATACTCTTATCACCTCTACCACTACGGGATTTGAATCGACAATTGTATCTGTGTACTAATGTGGTGTGGCAACTCAAACTGATGTACGTACGTACGAAGTTTTACGTTGTTACTGACTGACTGAGCACGCTCTGACCACCAGGCTTCTCGGTCCTTACGCAAGCTTTGCCCAATTTCATTACGTAACATCCTTCGTTTGTGGTCAAACTCACGGTCACCCGGAGTAGACCGACGGGCTTCAATGAGTTGTAAGGAACCAGAAGAAACCCAGTGCTTAAAAGCGGGACGTTTCGCAAACCCACAACTGACTGTTCCCGCCATTTTCATGGCGTCATGCAATTGCAACCAATCCTCATCTATATTCGGTGGAATAGTAGCTAACCTAGAAACTAGCTCGGTTCGATACTTACTAGCAACAGAAGTTTCAACCAGCTTGCTAACATCAATCCTTTAGTGACGATCAATTCGTTGGTCACTGAAAAGTAAGGTAAAATTGGCGCAGACCAGGGTATGATCAGAGTCCAGATTGGTGCTCCAAAAGGAGCGGCAGTCCTGTACACAACCACGCCAGCGGTAGCTGATCGCGATGTGATCAATCTGAGTCCAGGCCTGAGATGCAGAGGGAGGACGTCAGGTGGTACATCGGCTATGACTGTACCGAAAGTTAGTGCTAGCCAGAAACAGGTTGTGATCTGTGCACAGTTGCAGTAGACAGTCCCCGTTATCTGACCTGCGACCAACAAGTCCCCATTGGCCACCTAAACGACTCTTCTGTGCCTAGACGCCCGACCTGAGCATTCAAGTCTCCGGCTAGTACTACAATATCTGTCGAACGCACTTTCTGGAGAAGAACAGTTAACTGGTGGTAAAACTCATCCTTCATTGCATCCGGGCTGCAATCTGTCGGGGCATAGGCGGAGATAACGAAAAGACATCGTTTCTCACGCCGATTTCTTCTCACTTTGATGGAACTCTCTAATCTAACAGCACATAACCGACTGTTAATGGGGATCCAATCGATTAGTGCTGCCTCAGCTCTAGCGCTTAGTGCGACACCAACGCCAGCAAGACCAGACGAAGATGCCACAGGGTCCCCGGATAAACGCACATAAAACAAGCTTTTTGAAGCGACAGATGTAGAGCGAATTTGTATTACTTCATCAGAGTCTTGAATATGGGTCTCGGATGGACAACAAACATCGATATTAGGACTTTCCAAAGACATAGCCAGCCCTATCTGTTTTCCGACCTGCATAAGTGTGTGAACGTTGAAGGCAGCCAGTTTGGATGGCGCACGTGGTTTCAGAAAAACTTTCAATATTCGTGTTCAGTGGTAGGATTCAATTTTTAACCAGTCAGTGACTCGAGATCGTTTAGATAGAACAGAGTTTCCGCCATGGGCGAACAGCTGTATAAGTCGAAAAATAAGGATACACGAAATGGAAATAAAAGAGAGTGAATAAGTGACGTGGTAAATAATAATAATAATGTGAATTGTTTGGCTGTAAATCGAAGCATGAATAGAATTTTCAGTAAATATTGTCATTTTCATTTTATTTGTGTGTGCCCAAACCGAAGCAGGTGGTTGTCTTAGGGGGCCACACCTCGAGCTTTTGACCTAAAGGTCTAACCCACGAGGCGGTGGAGCATCGTGAGGAGATGCAGTCCCATGGTAGCCGGTGACCAGCGATTGGTTCATACGCCATTTGTTCCCGCAGGATACTGGAGCCCATGTGCACCATTGATTTGGTTTGGGATCCGGTTAAGGCGCCGGACATTCGCTTTTCGTCCTCTCATTTTCGTAAACAACACCCCCGCCTCGAGAAGGCAGTGAGTAGGACTTCCCTGGCAGAGGCTGTGTGCGCGTGGCCGTGTGAGAGCATTTCGGTAGGGAGGGAGGGCGAAACCACCCTGCTCTCGGCCATACCAGGGCATTTGGGGGCAACTGAGCCGGTATACAAGTGTTAATGTCTAATTTCAATCAAGTTACGATGTTGCACGACCATATTCCATTGTCTTCAGTGTGTAATTGCCTCACTTTCGACACTAGCTTCACTGCTCATGGTTTCTCATTAGAACTCCGGGGATTCCCTCTCAAAGCTAGTCACTAGTAAGCACATGATAATTATCAGCATATACATGGATATTTTCTAACCATTACCTCACGCCGCTATCCCATTCATCAGTTTCTCTGTTACCAGTCACCGCGACAATCAAGGCGAAATAGTTCTTATGTGGATTGCTCTAATTCTTTATTGTTCTCGGAGTCGACTAATGTAAGTTTCTATGCACTAATTGTTCCAGATGATGACAGAGAAATACGAACTTTTAACGCTTGATAGTCTTCGTAGCTTTCAAACGACCGTTCCGAAAGACACTATCGCAGTAACTGCCAGTTACTGTTATATTTCTCTCTTATTACGACCCAGTTATTCCTATTGCTTAGTATTCTTGAACACCAATACACTCGACGAGTCCCCGAATCAGAACACGGTTAAACAGGAACAAATTATATTCCAAATAACAAGTGTAGATGGAAGTAAGAAGTACAATAAGGAAAACGTTAGTATATTTATAGCTTTTACACGGGATTCCAGAGTCTTCTCCAAGTGTCGACTAGTGCTGACTGGATAAGAATTAGCCATTCAGCGTGCACCAACGCAATCGTGCATGGAACATGCTTCAATCCCATCTCTGTCCTGCTAACAGTTACTATCTAATCAAGAGTTATACTCTACATCCTAGGATTGTCATATTCACAGAGCTAACTCATAATCTTATTTTGAGTTCTCTAAAGAACGGGTTAGAAATGCTTTAAATATCTTAGTAAAAGGCAAATTGCTGGAAGTCAGATAAGATTTTCTCCATAATATTCTAGGTTCCGAATATTTTTAGTAATAGTGTAAAGATTAAAGCTTAACAAGTACGTGAATAAATGATTAAATTTATTGGAAATATTTGAGGTTACTCGAAGGCTTTCGGTTTTTTTTTTGTAGTGCAGAGGGAAATATCAGAAACTGCTTTATGTTTTAAGTCCAAATTCCCTCTAAAGCGAGGAAAAAAATAAAATCCAACGCTCCCAGTGAGGTCGTACAGAATTTTTAAAAACTGATTAACATCCCTTTGTCCTTCAAATTAGTTGTTGGTATAGGTATTAGTTTGAGAATTTTGCAAAATCCATTACAACGTCACCTTCAGGCTATCACTGTTCTGCATATTGTTTAAATTAGGAAGTTAGCTGTTTTTGGTTGTACCGATATTCAGCCGACATAAGTTGTAATAAAACTCACAGTAGTTGGAGTACTAGTAATTGTAATTCGAGTTGGTAATCGTGAATTTTCTGCTCTACTCAGTCAGGACAAACTATGGAGCATGTTACCAAAATAGGTTTCGTTTTTTCCTCTACTTGGTTGTAGTCGACTATTCATGAAGGTGCCTACTGTCCCACACAGTTGCTTGCTCCAATAAATGTAAAGGTGCCTTGTGGCTTTCAATTTTTGATGCACTATGACTAATTACCCATTGATGACCACTAAGACACTGTCGAGCTTATCCTAAATATCTACTGTGTCCCAAGGAAACTTGTAGTGTAAAATGTGCTGTAAGAAGATTATTATGAATAAAGTCCTATTTGGACCATTGTATGTCAGGATAGTAGATGGTATTAAAAATGACCACAGAAGTTTCGATAAGCTATCACAGAGAAAGTAAGTTCGTGAATTTATATATATAACACCATAATGTGTAGTCACATTTTATAATACAGGCTATCATTTCAGTAGTTGTCCCAATGAAGTAATCGGAACAGTTAGTCAGCCTTTTTTCGGCTTAAGGTATATTTCCTGTTTAAACTATTGAGTTTACTTAACTACTCAAGAGGGTTAATTTATTTGTCTACCATTAATTCATTTGATACTCTTAATTCTAGAGGCAAATAGATCCTCCTGACTTTAAAAAAGGAGACATTATCATTGATGGTCAACCAGCTAATGCCCCGTACGCTGAGAAGCGTGACTCATCAGTACGTAGTTGGGTCAGTTCTTTCACCAGCAAAAAGCTCATAGTAAATAACGGCGTAAGTTTCGATGTTTAAAACCAATTTATTTAGCATCATTAATGTATATCTGATTATCTAATACAGATTTCGTCAGTTTAAAAATCTGTTAATGTACACCGAGTTTCCCTCCCTGAATCACCGCTGATAACTTTTAAGCTTATTAGCTATTCATAGCCTGGTGTATCACTTGAAACTAAAAGAGCAGGAAAATATAATCGCTCTTGAGATCAAATTAATCCTATAGGAAAGTAATATTTTTTGAAGAAATACTCGGCTAGTCCTGAATATAATAGTAAATTTAAACATAATACTCTAGAAATTCCATATTTGACATTGTTTAGTGCAATAATTTTTCCATTTTTTAGTCAAAACCTAAAAAACACTAATTCCATTTACTCGTTTCGGCGGTACATATACTAAAATTGGGACGATACAGAGATTAGCATGGTCCCTGCTCAAGGATGACACGCAAAATCGTTTAGTTGCACTTAGTTTTATAATTCAGTTCTTGAATGTAAAAGTGTAACTGTTTATACGAATATCTTTTTACCTCATCAGTTGTGTGAAGTTTCGTCAGTGATTTTATTGCTTACTTTTGAAACTATTGGCTGATGCGGTCAAATTTATGTTAAAACTCATCTCGATATGTACTTTTTTGGAGATTATAGGAAGTGAAAGAGTTACAGAAAAGAGTGGTTCGTGAACCAGATGGTACTGAAGTTCATACCACGATTGAACGGTCATGTGATGGGGAAAAGAAACATGTTATTTATATGAGACCTGACGGTCAGCAGTCCCAAACTGCGAATAGTGAAGGTAAGAGGTCCTTAAATTCATTGTCTTCAAATTTCAATTTCCACTTGAGTGCTTTAGTATGTCCAACTTCCTTATGAAATGTTATGCAGATTAGTAATCATACTATGTTGGTTGCTTTATAGTCGAGTATCTGTAAACTCACTACGTAGTCTGATTTGTAATATTTGCATAATTGGATGGTCAACCAAATGATCATAAAGTTGAATGGTCTGAAGGTGAAGTTCTGTTCATGTACTCTTTCAGTTCACATGGTTATTTAAGTAGATGTGATTAAGATTTTAAAGATGACACTTGTGATTTCCCAAATACTCTGTAACTTCGGTTTACTAGCGAACATGTTATTTCCAACAATGCCTAGTGGAATCGTTACACGTAGCCTAACGCTAAAATGGTTTACGATATGTTCCAAAAGTACCTGGCAGTATACTTTCTACTCTACAAACTGTCAGTAATACTTATCATTTCACACAAATATGGGATAAAACGAAAGGACAAGTCACTCTTCATGGTTTTGTAAGGTGGGTGCTTATCAGCTTTTAATAAGACAAAATCCTGTGAGCAACTTCCACATTAATAATCTCGCTACATAGCGGTTTCCTCACCATAACTTAAGTTCGGTGCCTAGGGATTTTTGGTTGAAATCACTTCATATACGCTTTATGGACGTTGTCTACTGATACAACCTTAACTGCAATTTACATCACTCAAATTCCGCGCAAAGTATTTAAAGCAACTTTGTCCGGTGTCGTTTTGACCTTCAGAGGCTGATTAGTTAAAAGCCTTGCCTAACGAGCACAAAAAGGTGCCGCAAGGCAAGTGAATATTTGATTGCGGCAGAAGTTTACACCCTATTTCGGAAGCTGTGCTTAGTATTTGTGGTCTAATTTAGATATCCTAGTCTTGATGAATGGAAGCTTAAAAGGTTAAAGCCTTCCGAATAGGAAAATTCATATGTTCAGGAACCGCCTCCTATAACTTCATTAAAATTTAAGCGACGGCTGCGGTGTACTGCAAGCTACTAATAAGTTTGACAGTTTATTTCAATGAAAAATTTTGACCTGTAGTATAAATAATGTATTAATATGTTATCCTGTTAGGCACCAGGTCGTTAAGCATTTTAATTCTTAGATAGACTGTCTTGATGTTTATTGTAGATTTACTAATTATGGACCCAAGCCCATCCATGAAAGAATACCAATCGGAAAACAAGTCTTCAGGAATTTTCGATGCATTACGGCGTTGGTATTACGGGAATTAAACATCCAGATGTATGAACATGTTACTTTTTATTTGATTTCAAGTTTTAGTATATAATTTCCTTAAATTGTTACAGTTCTTTATCTTTGTAAAGGTGAATAGTTTAGTAACTTTTCTATTAAATCAACATGTGAAAGAAGCATGCGTCGGCAGCAGTAACGTCTCAAACCCAGGGTATCCAGAGCATCTCCTTCAGCATATTCAGCTTGAAGCAAACCAATGTAGCTCTCCCACTTGTCACCAACAACCTTTCCACACGTAAAACAACGTATTGGTATTATCATTGTTAATTATGTCTGAAAATGAAATGAATAGAAGTAAAATAATGGATTTAGCGTATGTAAACATATAACTAGGTTCACATAATCCATTAATTTTGTACTGTATTTACTAAGTTAATGATATATGTATATTTAATACTACATGAGACAGCACAATTGGTCGTGGTGAAGAAATAAATACACTAACTCCTTTATTACTTAAGTGTTGTGTGGCAACCCATACATACATATAGTTTACGTTACTCATGACTAACTGAAAGGTACTTTTTTTAATTACAGAACTGAACACTAAATATGACGCTCAATAGAAATTTAAAGAATGAGGCATTAGTCAAACACGGATGGGGGAAACGCTAATGTACTTATATTGTATTAGCCTGTGGAACTTTTTTGTCAAATATTTAGAACGATGGCAGTACATATCAGCTAGTGCCTTAAATAAACATAGTAGGAGAAAGCCCCCAGGATAATAAGCAATGGTCGCGCGAATGCTGTCATCAGTAATGGCTAATCATGAACGAAGTGATCCCAAAGAACATATTAAAACTCAAAAACCAAGGGAAAAAAACGATAGAGGATTTAGTGCCGATATTGTCGACGTAAAGCTATCTTGATAATTCTTCAACCCATGGCTAAGGATGTTTCGAGGATCACAGCAAGGTCGTGTATCCACGTACAAGATGTAACTCGATAGTCAATAGCTAGTTGGAACAAAGTCATGTCTTGACCTTATTAAATTCAGTCAGTCAGCTAAAACATAGGGCCAGGTACATTAAACAAATTCCAGTCTATTGTGTTAACAGACGTAAGTGGCGTTTAGGGATTTTTATATAGTTTGATTAACAAAGGTTCACAAGTGATTTACCACTTGGAATACTTATTCATTGTTTCAATGTAGTCTCAAATGAATACCACAAAGTTCCTTGGATAATAATAGTACTTTATCTCGTTAGCGTTTGTGATACAATGGTAGCTAGGTGTATCGCTTACTTTCGTACCATTGATAACAAGTAAAACGAGTTTTTGTTATCTACAGACGGAGTTATTGTAAATATGTTGTAATTTGTAATGCCGTCCAGGTGCCCAAATCATAGGAAGAGCATCCTTGCAAACTACCAGCTAGTAAGTATGGTCTAAAAGTTTTAAAATAATAGTCAGTACATCGTAGTAGTTGAGACCAGAACATATCGCGCTATAGTTCCCTGCAGAAACTAAGAGTTAATGTAGAGGATTAGTTTAAAATCGTAACTAAACGTATTTATAAAAGTAATCAACCTAAGAGCATTTGATTCCGGTTGGTTAGCCAGTGTTATCTCTGTTGGTCAATTAAAAACAAAGGTCATATCTAATATAAACGCCAGAGGCGCGAACGCTCACAGGACTCCAAATTGTGATGTTGAATTCGGACGAGTTTTATATTCTGATTGAAGTCTTTAAATAAAGAAGACTGGTCCTAGTCATATAAAGCGTTGTTACCAAATAGCTATTAACTCAGTTGTAAACGGAGATTTACATGTGTATGACAATGCGAAACTTAAGACTAGTTACTTTAGAAATTACTTAATTCAGGGGTCCAGTTTTCGGTTTGCACGATGGCAGGCCAACTAGTGTTGCTTCTTGTTTATATCTATATAAAGTAGTTAGAACTTGATTTCTCGATAGGTGTTTTATAACCGGTTTTCTAAGAGCTGCTCTATTTATTTAAACACAAACATTAGTAAAAGAAGGCATCAAATACATATGCGCCACATAAATCATTCGATTTGTGTGAAAGCTGAGGTACTGTCTGGGTGCCCAAACCGAAGCAAGCTATTTTCTTAGGGGGCCACACCCAGAGCCTTTGACCTAAAGGTCTAACCCACGAGGCGGTGGAGCATCGTGAGGAGATGCAGTCCCATGGTAGCCGGTGACCAATAATTGGTTCATACGCCGTTTGTTCCCTCATGATCCTGGAGGCCATGTACACCATTAGTTTGGTAGGCCGTCCGTGTCCATCAACCCAGTTAAGATGGACATTTACTTTTCGTCTTCTCAATCCCGAAAACAACACCCTGGTGAGAGAAGGCAGTGAGTAGGACTTTCCTGGTAGTAGTTATATGCACGTGGCCATGTGAGAGCATTTCGAGAGGGAGAGATGACTCTTCCCACTCTCGGCTGTACCAGGGCATTTGGGTCTGCTCTAAACGTTCTAACATGTATTAGTTTTTTCTAGGAGATATACGGAGTGCCTTCAAAAGTCACATGACTGCGGAGCTAAAATCGAAGCAGCGTTTGGCGTTTCCGTAAGTCTAGATCCTCGACAAAGCGTAAATGCACATCTTGTTTATTTTCTAAAGTGGCTTACACCGAGTCACGAAACGTCGGAAAGTCTAGTTTTCCTACTCATTTGGATATTACAAATATATCAATTCATTTACAACAATCTATCTAATTCTCAATTTGTTCGAAATTATCAAGTCAAACCTTGGCAATGACACCTTCACATCTTACAGTTCTACCCACAATTAACATGTAAGGGGCGGTGATACTAACTGGGTACTCGGGAAGAATCATCCGAGGCCATTTTTGGATGCGTTGAAGAGGTTGTTTTAATATTTCCACTGACAATGCTAATACAAAGGACACTTAACAATTGGGATTAAATAAATTTCTAAGACATTGGCTTGCTTTGACAGCGGGAGTCATCGAAATCTGTTATAATATACCTAACTTACTAGCAGCAAGACTTTGGGAACATCTGTCTACTGCTCTCAGAATTTGACAGTGAATCTCACTACGCTACATTAGGTTACTACTATCAACACTCCTAGTTAGACATATTTGCCTTGACTGTCAGTTTTCCCGTTTTAGTTTGGTTGCTCAATATTGTTTATGGATAGGAATGCGAGTGTAACTTTCCGAGACCGTTTTATACCCACGTCTAGTGGTAATGTAATCTAAAATGTCCTGTGATACTAACATGTCAAAAAGCAACCTAGTTACTGCGCTAAACATCCGGCAGTAAACCCTATCAGCACTTTGCATCATTAACGTCTCAGTTTTACTATGAATAGAACTGGGAGTATGACGGTGGTAATCAAAATAACAATTAACGCCACAAAATTACTTCTACAAGAAGCCATCTAGAGCAGGCTTAGTACTTAGATATATATGGACCATCCGACAATCTCCCTTCCGAAAGAGATTCCCACATCAAACAATTAATAGTGTTTTGGAGAACTGACTAAGGTTAAGTGGTTCGAAGGGGAGAAGCAGTGAGTCCGCAAATTACGTCACAAATTTACTGATAGGTCACCAGTAATGTATGACTGCGTGGGCCACTTCCAGATATTTACGTGTGAAGAGCTTCACTGCAAAGAAAACACGATACTAAGGGGTTATGGATATACTGCGGGAAGGATTGCTTAGGATAAGATGAATGCAGAAGACGTTTCTTGTGTAACTAATTTTGGATTCGAAGAATATGGGGGTTTGCACTGGATGATTGTTAAGCAATAGACCAGAAATTGCAAAGGCTTTCAAAGATATAAAGTGGAACCACCCAATCTCGGTAAACGTTTTGTCTAATTTTGGGAAGTGGCACAAGACCCTATGGTTTAGGGGATTCCCCAAACCCGGCCTATAGTTCTTCTGGAGTTACTGCCGGTCGCAAGGCCAGGCAAAGGTGAGTTGGACATGGAGTTGACAACTCCGTCTCGTAAAAAGGCCGACTAGACATCTAAGATATACGCAGGGGGAATTCATGATACGGCGGATAACTAAGCATAAGATTACGGTGTGGGGAAAAAGTGACAAGTGATCCGACGGTTCTCGTGCGGCTACCCACTTTGCAGAAACATGGAGCCGCGAAGCACTCGGTTTTATTTTCTTGGGGTGGGGCATTCCCACTCTTCAGGATTTACCACAGAATCGTACGAGACGAAAAGACTATGGAACATTATTTGTTGGCTGTTAAGTGTGCCTTGGAATTAATCGGACGGACGGTGGATCTGTAATTACTGAGAACAAACGACAAACCATCTAGATGTAGTTCTTTAAGGTTCAGATTTGGATATATCCAAACTTCTAGGTTTGGATCTAGCATGAAGGTACTTTGTGTGCTAAAAGATTGTGAAATAATCTGGATAAAAAGTGAGTCCACAACTTAGTAACCTTATGGGATGCACTTACATATTAGAATGAAAGCAATCGACTGAAATTAGAGATAACAAAATCTTGGGATTGAGACACAAGAAGCCGGTAGCGCAATAATTTCGAATATGTGGTTCAGTCAGCAGTACCGCTTAAGGGCAAACAGCCTGCTAACTGAGGCTAATTGAATGTTAAATGTCACTCAAAACAGTATTAGCGAATGTGGTCGACGCATATCAAACAGAATCCACTCTGCCGATAGACAAATCAAATAAGCTCAGTATCGATTGACTTATATGGATCAAAGGAAGAATGACTGGCATCAAACAATACTGTCACAAATAAAAGCCTGAAAACGTTAGCTGCTTCTCTCACCCGGCCTCTAAATGGCGGTGAGCAGGGAAAACCTAGAAAACCCAATCGCATGACTAGGTCAGTTTCTAGCAGAGAAAACAATCTGACTACCCAAGACATCGACAATCATCCAGGATCCGCCAGTGTGTTTGATGTGGCAGTGGTTGCTAATCCTACGAAGGTTGATAAATGCGTACAGGTCGAAAATAAGAAACAGCACAATGTTATTAAAGAATAGCCAACCATCCCTCCCCAAAAGCATCTAAGAAATAAAAGACTGGTCATAGTGACAGGTCAG